TATGTGTTACTCCTTGTCTTCCCTCTTGCCGTGGCACCGGTGATACTGCTCATGATGTTGTGCTGCTCTAGACCGGGACATGAGTCGACAATCAGACCATGCTCAACATCATCCTTGTCTTCGTCTTCTTCATCCTTAATGCCTCAAAAAGAATATCTGCCACCATCACCATCGCCATACAACCGTCATGATTCAGCATTGCAATTCATGTCAGATGCTGGAAACTCCGGCAGGGGTGTCCCCTCTCCCCTTATCTGTTTGGTTTTGTGCTCACTCATCTCTTCGAGAGCGTTGAGTCTCAATATACGTTGGAACATGGAGTTATCTCCGGAGTACTTCGTCTAGGTACCTCTCTTTGGGATTTAGACTATGCGGATGACCCGGTATTACTATCTAACTCTTTTACACAAGCCCAAACTGTTCTCCATTTAGCACCTCGCCTTGAATTCAGATCAGCGCATCTAGTATGATCCACAATATCTCCTTTCTCCTGTGGAAGACTTACGTGTTCCTCTCTCCGACGCGGTCAAATACTTGGGGGTCTACCTGGACCCCAAAGCCAACAATCATAAGAATGTTTCTACTCGTATCTCCCGCGCCATGGAAGCTTCCAAAAAGCTGGCTCCTTTGATGAAACATGGGCATCTACCCCCTAATTGGAAGTTACTTGTCTATCGCTCTGTAGTCCAGTCAATACTTATGTACGCCATGGACAGTATTTTGCTCACTCCCGCACAACTCACGAAGCTGGACTCCATTCACTATAAATGCCTTAGGCGCATTTTTAAGATCAAATCATCATACTATCACAGGGTCATCAACCCCTCGAGTTTCCCCTGCTCCAATCAGTATTTGGCAGAATTAGCTTTCAGCTCTAGAAGCGTGATCACTCCTTCCCAAATGTACTCACAAGGTCGCCCTAATCTGTTAGGACATTTGTACAGACACCTTGAATCCATGGAGACCCAGGCCACCTTTTATGCCCTCGGCGGCACATCGTCACACTCGTGGCCCCAATAGAGTAGGGCGCCCAAAACCCCATTGGGTTGAATCCTGCCTTGTGGAAGCCTCCCGCCGAATAGATTACCTCCAGTCGGACACAGCCCCACCGCATTCCCTGATAGATCATGAATTCGTCGCCATACCGACAGCCACAGAGATCAGACAAGAGCATGCCTCGCACTCCATGGTATGGATGGATAACACTCACTTGTGTCGCCGAGTATCCGATGTTGCCAGAAACAGAGCACTTTGGGTTGCAGTGGTTAATAATAAGCCAATCCGTAAAACCCAAAAGCGCCCCTGAAAGGTCGGAGCAAACGGGACCTTACCCAAGGGCCCTGCGCTTGCAAAAAAACAAACAAACCGCGTCTTCTGCGACTTTGTACTCTGATAACCTTTCGGTTGTTTTGGGGTTTAAGATTTTGTTGGCGAAAGGATGTTCACTCTCACTTCTTGCAATACAACGAGACATCCTTGTGGTGGGCAGTTTGGCAACAGCTTGCTCCAAAACGGACCGGTTGGCGTAGACACCATGCTAGATCGCATAGTCAGCCCAATCCTGGCGCAAGTTTTGCTCAGCGTTGGCAGCGCTGCCACAACGATGCTGTTGATGAAGCTGCAACATCCGTGTATCGGGAGCTGCCACCAACGGTAACCGGCGTTGTTTTCAAAGCCCGACAGGCTTACGCTGAGTATGTGCACGTTGCAAAACTTGTTTTTTCGCTGCAGGAAATACTGTTAGGGGACCTTTCGGTCGCATGATCAAACACGGGTTCTCGAACAAACTGCTTGCGCAGCAGACATTGCTGTGCCTTCGAATGCATCGACTCAAAACGGTCTAGTTGCAAGTCTTGGTTTCCAACCGCAAGACTTTGCGGATGCTTTACTAGGACCTCCTTTCTTGTGGGTAGTTCAAGCTTGGATGAAGCGAGGCACTTGGGTGGAGCCTTCTGAGTGGGTTGCCATCTTGGAGCTGTATTTGCATTTTGTAGTGTCCACAGGATGGCTGGCTCCAGTCAACGTGGCAGCATCGAGTACAGGCAGATTGCCTTTGACCTTGCAAGCGGGCTCAGTACCGCAACCGTTCGTTTGCGAAGCTGATTACCCTCCTTTGGCCCTGAGCAGGCCATCGCTTGGTAAACAAGCTACTGTTTTCTTGCACGCGCTTAAAGATGTATGCAAACGACTTGAACTTGAAAGCAAAATTGAGCGGCGTCAGACTCTACAACTCTTTGCATGTACAGTGCCAGTGGCTTCAAGTTGCATTGTGCCGGGCGATTTCCGACAAACGCCACATGAGCTATTTCATAAGGTGTTTAATGGCGCGGATTACCCCGCCATCGCTCGGGCTAAGATATGTGCGCCAGTACAGGCACTGCCTTGCCTTGTTTCCTTGCGTAGTCCCGTTGTGGTCTGGCATTGTTATACAAACTTGATAGGCGCAGCGCGCAAACGGTGCAATGCTTGAATTTGTAATTAATATTGTATGTCGCCCTGTTAAGTATCTTGGCGGTAAAAGTGTCTATGTTCTTTGTTGTGTGTGTGTTTTTGCTGCGTGTGCGTGGCGCGTATTGTTTTTTGCAGCGGGTGCGCGGTGCGTGTTCGTTTTTGCTGCGGGTGCGCAGCGCGTCTGTTTTTCCTGCGGATGTTTTTTTGCTGTGGGTGCTCCGGGCTGCAGGCAGCGAGTGAATGAGTGAGCTCGCGCACCCGCAGCAAAGAAAAAGACGCGCCGTAGCGGCGGAATCCAGTGGTGCGCGGGCCGGCCAGCCGGGGGGCGCGTTTATTTTTTGCTGCGGGTGCGCGACGTGTCTTTTTTTGCTGCAGGTGCGCGGCAAGTTCACTCACTCACCTGCTGCCCGCCGCCTCTGAGCATCCACTGCAGAAAGACATCCAGGGTCCGGGGCGCGTTTTTGTTTTTGCTGTGGGTGTGCGAGCTCTCTCACTCACTCGCTGCCCGCCGCCCGGAGCACCCACGCCAAAAAGGCACCCACAACAAAAAAAACACTGGTTCCGCATCTTGGCGTGCTTCTCGCTCGGATGGTCCGCAGACGTCTTGCACATAAACCCGTAAACCCCTAAACCCCTAAACCTCTAAACCCCTAAACCTCTAAACCCTTAAACCCTAAACCTCTAAACCTAAACCCTAAACTCTAAGTTCCTTAAAAAGGGCCCAGGGTCCAAAAGCCGGCAGCCTGCTCCGGGGGCCCTAAGCCCTCCGGACAGAAGAGCCCCTCGGGGCATGGGATGCCTGGGCGGCGCTTTAAGGCTTGGCGTTTAGGAGTTTCGGGTTTGGATTTAAGAGTTCAGGGTTTAGGAGTTGAGGGTTTCGGGTTTAGGGTTCAGGAGTTTAGCGTTTAGGGTCTAGTTCAGGTTCTAGGATATAAGGTTCAAGGCTTGGGGTTCAAGGTTTAGCAAGCCTTGAAAAGGTAGCCTGTTGTTTCTTCTCTACGACGGTGCCATCCTCAAACTCTCTCATTAAACTTGAGAGCCACGGGCTGGGACGAAAGCTCTAACATGGTCAAGGCTGGCGACACGGAGCCCGCACGAAGAGACACAGAAGCGAATTTCGGCTGCGGGCCCCTGCTGCACCGTCGAAGATCGCAGCAGCTATTTTTCACACGGCAACACTGGCGGGAGCAGTTGTGATCCACCTTCTCCCCGAGAACCAGACTCACACGTGCCCACACACTTGAATGAAGCTGCAGGAGCAAGCCAGCATCGCAGGAGATAAACGATGCAAAGAAGAACACTGGTGGGAGCAGTGTTGATCCAACATGTCAACAAGAGCAGTTTTTTATCCAAGAGATTAACTGTTAAACTCCTTGCGAGACAAAGACAGACAGTCATGTTGCGACATGTGAAACAGGTTTTGACCCAGCAGACCAACTCTTTGCCAAACATAGACAGACAGACATGTTGCAGCACGCCTAGAACAGGACGCGCCCACACACTTGCGGTCATGAAGCTGCAGGAGCGAGCCCGCATCGCAGCAGAGAAAAGATGCAGAGAACAACAGGCGGGAGCAGTTTTGATCCAACAGGTCAACAAGAGAAGTTTTGACTCAACAGATTAACTCCTTCCCAGAAAAGACAGACAGTCATGTTGCGACATGTGATGTTGCAGCACGCCTAGAGCAAGAATGTCACACACGCATGCACAACGTGGCCCCGCCACGACCAGCATGAGCAGCACACGGGCAGCATCAGCAGCATCAGCCGAAACGCCGAGGCCAGCATCAGCAGCATCAGAGGAGGCCTGTTTACCCTTGCGCGTCTAAAAATTCACTCACCCAAAACGACCGAAATAGCCCAAAACAGGCCGCTTTGGAAACGATGTTTTTCCCAGCTCCAGGTGGGGGATAGCCGAAAAAAAACCCACCAAAATCCGCCCACAAGCTCACTTCATGAGGTAATGAACGAAGCTCCCGCACGAGGAGCTTTCGTGATTCGATCAAAACTCATCAAAAGTATCTAAACCTTAAACCCCCTTTCAACACTCGACCGTGTTTTGAAACCCTCAGCCGTAAATCTGTATCCCTTGAAAACGGAAGCCTTTAAAAGAACCCTTGAAGGAACCTGGACCTGAGAATGCCCCAAAGCCTTCAAGAACGGCCCAGGGGCCTCAACCCTAAACCCTAAGCCCAAACCCTAAACCCTTAGCCCTAAGAACAAACCCTTGATGAAAGGCCCAGGGGCAACCTTGAGATGGACACATGAAGGACCCCTCCGCACAAACGCAATCAGACTCGCTGGTGGAGCCGAGCCTGGGAGTTGTGAGATGAGGGCTTAGGGTGTTCCCTTACGGAACCCTTAAACGCGTTGCTATAAGGGATATAGTAGCCCTTTTAAGGGGTTATAAGGGTTACCGGGTTACCACCTTCAAAAGAGGTTTGGAATGGGACCAGATCTGGCTGTGCCCCAGGCTCCGAGATGACCTCTTGACCTTCTAGCCTCCGCTAAACCCGAAACTCCTGGCCCTGAAAACCACAACCCTAACCCTTAACCTGAACCCAAGACCCTGAATCCGAGTAGCCCTCGGGTGATCTGATTCTGCCCGCAAGGCAGGCATTGACTGCTTCGCGACGATGGCATGTAGAAGCCCACCTCACAGCTCCTGCCAGAGGTTTTATAGGGATCGCAAACGGGATTCAACGACTTTATAGAGGTTGTTTAACACTTTTCTGGTGTCTTGCAGCGGTTTTGTAAAACAAAATCCTATTCCGTTTGGTTGCATGATATGGATAAACAAGACCCTGCTAGCAAAATTATTCGAGCCCTATATCAGGGCCGAACAAGGTTTAGGACTCAGTTCCTAGGATTGCAGGCGATCCTAAGCCCTAAACCCTAAACTCCAAACCCTGAACCAGCGATCCTGCATAGCTCCATGCCTTCAGAAGGCCCCTCTGTGCCAGGCTGACACGCAACGCATGCCGCCGAGCCCGCATCCAGGGCGAAACTGCCGTTCGGGCAAGCGGTGCAATTGGTCATGCCCACGTCGGGAGCAAAAGTGCCTCTCTCTTGGTGCTCTTTTCGGTGTACAACAAGAGGGTGCCCCCATGATTTATCTGACCGTCGCATGGTTGGCTTTTCGTTTGAAATCCCTTAACAAAGAGCAATGCTGATGTTCCCCTATTTAGGCCCCTTTATCAAAGCCAACCCGACCTCGGGGACAGGGCATCAGAGGAGCCGTCAGCCCTCCTTCACAGAAGTTCCCCTGCGGACATATCTTGCACTGCCTTGTTTGCTCCTCCTGGTAGAAGCCGGGATCACAAGAATACATGTCTGGCGGCGGGAAGTACCCCACTGACCCATCCATCCATGTCAAAGGCGCCGTAACTGTGAAGTTCAATGTCTTAGCACTGAAGGACGCAACAGAAGCGATGTTGCCATCGGACTGCACGTTCAGGAACTCAAAAGCCCCCAGCCGGTCACCGTTCCTATCGAAGCTCATATCACCCGACACCTAGGCTGCCCAGCACCCCTCTAAAAAAATCAAGGTACTTCGGTTTTGGAGCAATGAAAATACTACTGGGCGACCTAGACACGCCGTTGAATCCGAGCCTGCTCATCTCATCTAAGAGTGCGCGGCCGCGGACTTCACTTGCATCCACGCCCGAATGCAGGAGGTTGTTAATGGCAATGAAGTATGCGTACACCGAGTCAAAGTTACAGAATGCGATTGGGTCAAACACCGCACCTTGCAAGTGCAGGCAAAGAAGACATATACACACACACACAAACACTTATTGACTGACACTGCACGTTTTTGGGGGGATGGAACCAGGAATATACAAAGCCGCACACAGAAGTAGAGATTGACCCAGGAGTTCCTGAGAACAAACGAAAGACTGCCACGAGTTCTCACCATGTCGCCTTCATCGAACATCTCATCCCCGACCAGGCCAGCAGGTAGTTGCATCTGATTCGTGGCTTCCATGTCATGTGGTGAAAGCCAGGACCACAACTGCCGCAGCTCCGGAGCCTTTGCGCCTTCACCAGAGGGTCTCAGGTACATGTAACCCACTTTCCTGCCTGCATCTGCTTGGAACGTATCCGTCGATAGTATTTGCCATGCTGGCGTCACCATGCCCTCCTGCTCAAGGACGTTGAAAAAACCGCCAGCGAAGGCGACATGGATGAGAAGAACGACAAAATGGGATCCAATCCGTTTCACAAGCTGTGCTACTTCACGAGCTTGTTCTGCATTGAAGTCTAACAATGACATCCGTCCCAAGCCCTGTCCCTGAATGCGGTCTTGCTGACCGTTGGCACGAGCAAGATCATTCAGAGATCCGAAGAGACTTTGGCCGTAGCCCTCGTCGGAATAAACACAAGCTGCTGCTGGGACATTGAAGTGTACAACCCAATGCCAAATGGCAGTAGCAAGGAAGCTGTCCGGTGGCGTGGTTCGAACAAAGAAGGGGTATTCCTTCTTGTTAGACAACTTGGGGCCCTCGGCATAGCAAGATACTTGGGGTATCTGCCGCACACCTGTCAGTGTAGCAACCGGGTCGAGGGAAGCGATTAATCCGATCACAGGCGCATTGCCCTCAAGGCCAAGAAGCAAGTTCAAGGCTTCGGACATGCCTTGGTTGTCGTTTTGGGGCCCTTAAAAATTCTATAGGAACCAAAGTGCAACCTAGATGCCCGTCTTGTCAGAATCACCATCGTCCTTCATGCTCAAACTGATGGCTCCCATGCTTGCATTTGGATGCACTCCACCAGGGATCTCGATGATTGGAGGGCCTAACCGGGCAGTCAAGGAAGCATTGAAATTCTTCTGGTAGTCGATAAAGGCTGCAGCTGCCGTTGCGTGAAGTTGTGGATTGCCGGCGAGAACTCCGAGTGCAAACTCCACACTGGCGCACCTGACAAAGCTCAACGAGAAAAGCAGCACAGAACTGCAAGGAGGCCGCACGCTGCGAAGTCCATGTCCAGCCATGGCTTCATTGAAAACGCAGATTAAAAACTGCTCCAACCTCGGCAACTCGCTGACCACCTGACCTTCTGCCACTGCACTTTAACCTACCATCCTACAGTGTTTCAGTATGCTGTGGTATACTACACACAACTATGAAATATGTACTGCATGTCAACATGGTATATGATGGCACTGCTTCCACAAAAACTGCAACATGTGCATGACAGGTATACCGCACAGGTGGCGAAGAATCTCAGCCACCCAAGACTGGGAAACACCTACAGCAAACTCCAAAAAGTTGGAAACCTAGGCAAGGACAAATAGTGCTGGGATCCCCTATACTCTACTCTTAGGGATTGAGGCTATCGGGTTTCCAACTTTTTGGCTTCTACTGTAGAATAAGCAAATTCAATAAATCTTGTAGAGGAGACCATAGCATGATTCAACATATACTCGGGTCTCGCGGTCAATCGGGATTGACATCTGACTCGAAGCTGTCTTCCCTGCTGCAAACAAGGCTGCACCCGATTAGCTTTACGGCTCCTTAATGAGATCTGTAAGGGTTTCTATGAGGGTACTATAACGGTAGATCCCTTCCCTAAGCCCTAGTAATGCTTCCAGCTTTCTGTGAACGTGCTGTACTGCAGCGAAGTGGTCGTGCGAATCCGTGACCTGCTCCTTCTACTTGGGCACAAGTAAACCTTAAAATCCAAAACCGAAAACACAAGCGAGCCCGCTTCCGAGTCATGTGGTTGGAAAGCTACCGATCACCCTCATTGAAACGCTGAGAACAAGGAAGTGAACATAAAACCTGCACCAATCGGATCTTCATTGCATGGACTCTTAAACTGCCTTAACTAACGGGATGCTTCTAATGAGGACTCCTGAATAAGGTCCTTCTGTTGTGTAAGAAAGCCCTACGTAGATACTCCTGAAACTGGAAGTTCGGCAGCAAAGGGTTTTCAAGATAATAACCGAGGGGTGTAGGGTTTGGGTTTAGGGTTTTGGGGTTAGGGGCTTGGAGTTTAGGATTTAAGGTGTGCGGCTTAGGCTGCAGGGTTTGAGGTTTTGAATGGAGCGCTAAGTGTGGGGTTCCTCACATTCGTAGTGAGTGGTCGTACTAAACCCGAAGCCCTACAGTAGAAGCCAGAAAGTTGGAATATCATTATCGTAACCCCTTTAAGGTAAATTATAGGGGATCCTACCATTAATCCATATTCCAACTTTCTGGAGTTCCCTTTAAGCCCTAAACCTTGAAGCCAATCGCCGGATCCTATGCTTTTCGCCTCAGACCTTCGAACTTCAGACAGCCACTGAGGGCCTAGGTAGGGTTTATGGCTTCGGATTCTGTATCATGCTAACTGGGCTTTAGGGCTTATGGTTTAGGGTTAGTATGGAGGACCCATTTAATTCTATATATGTATAATATATATATATATATATATATATATATATTGGAGACCCTGCTGCTGTTGCAATGTTACAGATTAATATACAGAGGCCGGACATCCCTTCTGATTTGACTTTACAATATCCCAAAGAACCCAGATCCTCGCTGTCAGAATCAGAAAGCCCCCGTGTATTAACCCCTAAACCCCAAAACCAGGGCTTCTTAATCAGGTTCCTACATTACACCTTGACGTAAACAGGGATCCTTAAATCTAATCTGCGGCGTGCACTACTCCGCATGTTATATCTCAGAGGTAGGGGAGTCGGTGTGATGCACTTGAGGCCTTTTTCCTGCCCCAGCGCTGCGATCAATCCGATCACCGCGCGAAGAAGTCCGAAGAACGTTTCAAACGCACAAAAACTGTTAGGGGGAATCTTGTGAAAGCTCCCACCTTACGCCTCACTGTGGACAGCGTTTGGTTTAAAAGGACCATGGCATGTACCCATCGTGATCGCAAATTGCGTTAGAAAACAAATTCCACCATGTTGTTCGCTTCTTCGGACCGTGGTGTGCCAGTAGACCTTGGTTTCCCAGCAGCCCTCTGCTTTGCAAGCGTACCCTTTGAGGGTTTCGGATTTAGGGTTTTCGTTCCTGCAACTCAGGCTTAGTAATTCCAATGAAAGCCTCCGAAACGCAAAAGGTAAAATTCAAGGGTAAAAGGAGGGACCCTTTAAAGGACCCCTAGGTATATACCCTTAATATAGCTATTATATACCCATTATATAGCCCCATTGTCGGGTAGGGGTCCCCATTAAGGGTCCCTCCTTTTCCCCTTTGGGAAAAGCGTAGAAGCCGGATCCCAAAAAAAACAACGACTCGAACCCCCGAATATCTGCGCAGGGTTTAGGGTTTAGGGTGGGGAACTTGTTTAAAAAAACGGGTAGAACCGCTTCTGGGAGCGAAAGGCCATTGCCCAGAGACTCCAAAACCTCTAAACTAAGCAATACACCTTAACTCACTTCAAACCATACAACTTAAACCCTAAACCCTGAACCCTAAACCTTGACAACTACCGGAAAACTCAGGGGATCTTGGAGAGCTTGGATACTGAAAGACCCAGTGACCTCTCATCATCCGAAGTCTGGCTGCGATCGTCCGTGACATCAGCCACCAATGATTCCTTTAGGGTTTCGGGTTTAGGGCTTGGGGTCTCGGTGTAGAAATTCGGGTCCACAAAGGCATCTTCAGGTTATCAGGATGCAGGGTTTAGCGCTTGCAGGGCTTTAGAAACGACTGCAAAGCGCTGTACTTGGACTTAAGAAGCACTTCCGGGATGGATACATAGAGGTAGGGCTTTGGGATATATATATATATATATATATATATATATATAGTACAACTACACTTCTGTGCAGACTGTACAGTGACGTTATGGCTATCATTGCAATCTCTAGATCAGGCCGTAGGATTCATGATGGGGTTGCTGGGGATTGCGAGTTCAGGATGGAAACCCAGGGTTCAGGGTTTAGGGTTTAGGGTGTAGGGTTTAGGGTTTAGGGTTCGGGTTTAGGGTTTAGGGTTTAGGGTTTAGGGTTTAGGGTGTAGGGTTTAGGGTTTAGGGTTCGGGTTTAGGGTTTAGGGTTTAGGGTTGGTGCAGGGTTCATTCAGGAATGCTCCATCACAAGTACACATCGCGGTTACCCTGAACCCGAATCCCGCGGTTAAAGCCGGGCCTGTGCATGGAGATTCTCAAGGGCTGGCTGGAAACTGCCTCGACGCAGGGTTTAGCGTTTAGGGTGCAGGGTTTCTTTTTTTTGAGGGCCTTTTTGCAACTGCACTAGTCTGTATCCGTCGCAGCCCATAGGGTGCAGGGTTTAGTGCTTGGGGTTTGGGTTCAGGGTTTAGGACCTCGACGCAGGAGCTGATCTTCGTTCTCGTCTTTTGGAGCAGCCGTGACTGGATCCTCGGCGGCCCACTGCAAGCGATTCTCTAAGGGTTCTGGGATATAGGGACCCTAAACCCTTCACAACCCTAAACCCCTAAACCTTAATCATCAGAACACGGTTTGGGGTACAAAGCACCAGAATGACGGAGGGACGGCACTTTGTGGGGATAAGTTAAGTAAAGCAACCTCGGAACTGCAATTTTAATCAACCCTGTAGTAGTATGGGGTCCCTACGTTTGTAACCCTACTGGGGTCTGGGAGGTTTCGGAAGTTCCGACATACCTCGAGCCCTCAGAGAGGATCCTTTGTCGAGGGGATTTAGGGTTTAGTGTTGAGGTTATAGGGTTTACGGCTGAGATATCAAGAGGTCGAATAGATTTAGGGCTGCAGATTCGATGACGGAACCCCTCCGCAGCGAACACCCAACTACTCTGAATCTTGCAACCGGAAGTCTAGCAAACCTGTACTATCTTACGATATATATATATATATATATATATATATATATATATATATATAACATAGTATATTGCAGTATATTACACCGTCACATAGTACACTATATCATTGTAGAAAGCCTGGACAGAGCCAAGCGTCCTGATATCGGTGGATTCGCGATGCGATCTCCGCCACCTGCCTCTCTTGCAGACCTTCTGATGCTAGAGGTGTGAATGGCAAGGCCAGCACTGTGCACAAGTTTCGAAAAACCTGGGCCGGGATGCAGTGAGCAAGAACCTAGAGAGCCCAATACCCCTCAATTCAGGAATATTCCTTAAACTATATTAGGGGTCCTGCTAAAATTGGTCAGGCGAGGGGGCTTAGGGTTTCCAGAGGGCTGAGAATCCTCAGGTCCCCATGCCGGTCCCCAAAGGGCTGCATAGAGGATTCGTTTTTCTTGTTTTGGTCTAGATAAAGGAGCCCATATCCAACCCTCAGACGACCCCAATCAAGGATCCTGTGTGCTCTACAACATGGTCGCAACGGTCCGTCGCAAAGCGTTGAGCGTTAGGAAGGTCTCACAAGGGTTCTGCAAGGAGCTCTATTCAGTGCTACAGTGCTGCTACGACGATCAACAATTTCGAAGACTATCATCGTTACTAGAAGTGTAGCTTTCTGTTCGTACTATCATGAAAGTATCGTTATTGCTCTCGTGTTCTAGATATTCATTGTTGCTATCTCGGGTGCAAACGTGCCCGACCACCCAGCTTACAGATATTGAAAAGTTGTTTTGCCGATGGTTTCCAGTCCACTCATTGCTACCATTCCTATCCCCAAATAAAAGACAATCTTATAAGTTCTCCTTTTGACGAGGCTGTCTTATGAGAAAAAAACCTCCTGCTTTCGCCAGCTTGTCAACACCCTCCCAAATCCGAAAAAATGTAAGCCCTGGACCCCAAGACCATCAAGCTCTATATCCCGAATCCCTAGTTCCAAGCCCCCAAAACCTAAATGACTTCAACAGGACCTATTGGCTTTACGGCAAAGGAGAAAACCCCTAGAGTAGAGGGCTTTGGAAAGCTCTCTAGCATTTTGTTCTGGTGTATAGTAGAGTATGAATTTGGTACCGAAACCCTGAACCTTAATCCCTGAATCCTAACCCTAAACCCTAAATCAACAACTCTGAACACTAAACTCCAAAGCCTAAACCCTCCACCCTAAGCCGTAGATTCCCAAACAAAATGTACT